CACCACGCTGAGTTTAACCTCCCATTTTAAGAAAACGTTTTCCTCAGAAGCCTTGAATTTGTAAGAAAGTTTCTAAAGGAGATGGCCTCCTTCCATTCTGTCCCAGGCTTCACTGCAACCTGGCAGCTTAGGGACACAATTAGAGTGAATGTGAGAGGAGCCCTGGGGAACATCTGTAGATCTTGTCCATGGACACGTGGGTAGGCAGAAAATAAATAGCATGCAGGATGTCCTAGAATTTTGGATAAGGGCCACCTGTCCAACTTCCATTTCGCTCACTTATTTCATGCCTTGATGTAGACATAAGAGCTGTGGGTGGGCAGAGGTGTGAGCTGCGAATTGTTGCCATTCCCAGTTGGATGTGAGGGGTTCCCATGATTATCCATATCCTCCTTTGAATGAAGACCGATCAGCCCATTCATAAAAATGTTGAGCTATAGAATTTCTGGACAGCACTATGCATGTGTGATTTCCTTCTATTGTACTGAAGGCTAAGCAGCTTTAAACATTTTTTTGATGGCATGGAAATTTAACTATATGGGTTAAGCAAATACAAAAGAGAGATAACATTTTGTACAAATTCTTCTCCTGTCCATTACTGTCCACTTAACTCCTATTCATCTTTTAACACTCACCTCAATGTAACCTCCTTTAGTAAGCCTTTCCTGCCCCCTGTCCTCCAATAGAGAGTTGATTATTCCATGTATATCTTTGGAATGCAGCTTTTGTTACGTTGCACGATTTTTTCCCCCACATTTTCCTTCTTCTCTCGAACCATGTGTTCACAGAGGCAGGGACCTTGTATTACCAGTGCGTTCCCCAGGACCAAGCCCATAGAAGGACGTAAATATCTGGTGAAAGAATGAATGGTGTTTTAGTTTTTCTAGAAAGTTATTTAAAAGAAAGCTAGAAAACAAGCCATGCTATTTTGTTTTTTTGGAGGGAGGAATGACATGTGTAAGATATTGTTGAATAACTCAATGGAAATGATACTTATATCATGGCAAAATCTGGATAAAAGTGGAAAATTGGGATCCTTTATAGATATCAAACCAAAACAGTCCTTTTTGGCAGCATCGAGGCCAAAGATTTGGAAAATTAACTCAACCTTACTTACCACATCTAGATATTGTGTCATCACTTAATACAATTAACCGTTTACAGTGTAGATACTTGCCCATAGCTCTATGCCAAGTGGTATGGAATAAAAGAAAGAATCAGATCTGAGCAGCTGCTATTAAATCATTCTTATAAGAATTGCCTCAGGCACTCATTTCACATCATTTCCATTGATGTCAGGGTAAAATCCCATCACGTATTATTTCCACCAGCACTGGAAACGTGTACACTCTTGTCCAAGTCTGGCTCCACCATCTTTGACATTGTTGCCCACGTAGCATTTTATTCATATCTCTCTGAGAATGATTTTCGCTATATATTTTGGCTAGCTAGGTATGTCTGTCTTTTAATACAGAGGTCAGCAGAATAAGATCTACAGGCCAAATCTGGCTCATTATCTGTTTTTGTAAATACAGTTGTGTTGGAACACAGCCACATTCATTCTTTTTTTGTATTGTGTATGATTGTTTTGGCATGACAATGCTGGAACTGAGTAATTGCAACAGAGATCCTATAGCATGCAAAGCCAAAAAGTTTTATTGTCCTAGTCTTTATAGAAAAAGCTTGCTGACTTCTGTTCTAATGTATTGAGATACCCTTAAAGGAAAGGATTTTTTTTTTTTGATTTCTGCCCAAAAGTCAGTATATTCCAAGGAATCAATGAATGTTTAAATCTTACTGTGTGGTGAACACTGTTCTAAATGCTGGTGGTACATTCCTCAAAGAGTAGAGAAAAATCTCTCGCTCAGAGTCTATATCCTACTGCTGGGCATAATGGGGAGAGACAGGGCGATGAACAAAGTAATGGAACATATCAGCAATAAATGTTGTGGAAAAAAACCAAACTGAGATGGGAGGAGAAGGATCGCTGTAATGAGCGGGCGGTCATGGTGGGAGGAGGGAGATTGTTTTTATGTGGCTTCAGAGAAGGTGACACTGGAGCAGTCATGTGGATTCTGAAGGCCATATGGGGGCGAGTAGTGAAGGGACATGTTTGGCATGTTTGAAGACTCATGAGGAGGCCATGTGCCCAGAGCAGAACAAGCAAGGGGTAGCGTGGGAGGAAATGAGCTCACTGTCTGAGTGGGTTTTTCCGGGCTGATTTTATTCTGGTGAATTTTTCTCTGGCTGAGGTGGGAAGCTCCTACAGGGCAGAGTACAGGATGAGCAGGGTTTGCCATATTTTGACAGGCTTCTGACTGGAAGATACACTATAGGAAGAAGGGCAAAGGTAAGCAGAAGCCAAGAGACAATTTACAAAGGTCTTGGTGATGATCCAAGTATGAGAGGATGCTGGCCTGGCCTGTGATAATAGACATGGAGTGACGAGAACACCAGATTCTGGTGTCTCAAGCCAGGTCAGTACGTGGCATACAGTAACTGTCTCTTGAATGAGTGAATAAAATGCTGACATTTCCACTGGGGTCCAGAATGGAATCAGAGCTTGAAGTTCTGATGGTGACTTTCTGGGACAGAGCTCTAGCACTTGTACTGAAATTACAATCATTATGCTATATTTGTCTTCTGTGCCTAGTTTATTTCATTATTTCATCTAGTGTTACATCTTCCAGTTCAATATGGCTGAATAATATTCTGTTGTACATATGTAGCACATTTTCTTTATCCATTTGATGGACACTTAGGTTGTTTCCATTTCTTGGCTATTGCCACGGTAAACATGAGAGTACATATGTCTCTTGATATACTGATTTCATTTCCTTTGGATCTAGACTCAGGAGTAGGATTTTTGGATCATATGGCAATTCTATTTTCAGTTTTTTGAAGAACTTCCACAACGTTTTTCCATGTTTCGAATTATAACGCTATGAACCATAAACAAGCACAAATACTGTAGGTTAATTAAAAATTAAATTATAAATTAATAACATAATCAGCATAGCTCTCCAGACATAATCTGATTCTCCTCCTATCAGACCAAGAAGGTGAAGTTTTTCCTTTATATTCTTTTGATTGGAAGGGAGAGGACATTTGAATTAGCGTGAGTTCCTTTTCCAAGATTAACCGAAGTAATATTTAAAAGGCAGTCTTTCAACTTCATCTGAGCCTTCTACAGGAAGAGTGGTCTGAGACCAAGTGGAGCTGAATGTTTCTCCTAAAAGCAGCTTTAGGGTTTCTTTCCACTGCAGCAGGCTGTGGCAAGATGAGTAAGCTTTAATCTTTCAAATCACACCTTTCCTTTTATTCTTTGCTATGTGGTAAATATTAGCAAGTAGTTGAATTCTTTTATAAAGCTGGTACCTCTTTAATTTTTGACAGGCTCAGCACATACATTTCACTTTTAATGACCAGTTAGCATTCAGTTGGTAGCAAGATGAATGCTTGTTTCACCCTGGCACCACATGGCATTTCGCAGGGATGCTATTTCAGAAAGGGTCAGCATGTTCTAGAAATCAGGAATTTTGTAAACAAGCAAAGGTGTGAATACAAACGACTGATTGTCAGAATCACTAAACTTAGCATTGGGTGAGACATCTTCCACTAATTTCAGCTGAGAACTCCCCTCTGCCCCCAGGCTAATGATTTGAATCTCCCAACCACTAGGTGAACTGCGCTATTCTCTCACAGCCCAAAGTGGGCTGCATCTAGTGTGCCCGCCAGTGCTCTGCAGACCTCTGGTAATGGTCTTGAAAGGGAAAAGTTTCAAAGAGGTTTGGTTCCCAGGCCTGCTAATGAACCAGGGCTTGTGTGGGATTCTTTGCCCTTCTGTTTTGAAGGGAGGCAATGGGAGTTCACAAAAGCAGCAAGGGCTTTATGGTGAGAGGAGCAGAGAGCTGGGCCACCCTGAGCTGGTCGGCAGGGCCAGGGTGGCGGGGGGTGGGGGGTGACACAACTGGTGGATGTCTTGCCCGGGCCAGCAAGGCTGTGAGCATCAGGCAGCACCTCCTGCCAGTTTGGCCTGTGGCTAGTGACAGTGATAAACCCAGAGTGAGAGAGTTTTGGCCAGGAGTGTTGCACAGGGTCACTCAGAAGCCCGTGCAAGCCACTTTTAACCCGTGCTTTAAATTGTAATTGCTACCACATTTAGAACTTATCAAATGAATATGGTAATCACCCAAATCCTTGTTCTCATTAACTTAATCGTTGTCCTGAATATTAGTCACTGGTACCCAAACTCACTGCAGCTGTGAAAAAGGCTCCCAGATATTTCTCTAAACTCCTCTCTGCCTGCCCATACACTATTACCATGTTAAGCAATAGAATTGTTCAGGAAAGTAACACACACCAGAATGATTGCCTCTATCAAAATTATCTTTGTGGGAATCCATATCTTTTCTCAGGAGCTTTGGAAAATGACACCCTTTATTTTAATGTGATTATTTCTACTGAAATCTGTGTGTGTCATGTGCATTCAATGCTAATTTCTACGGTGACTGTCTCTTTATGACTCACAAGTCTGATGTGGTATTGCAGAATTACAGTCCTTTAAAATACATTCACATTAATATGTAAGCTCATAAATTCGAAGTTACACATGACTGACTACAGTTCATTGATGAATGTTTGTACATTTTAATTTCAAACCCAAGGTAAAAATCGGCTGTGATAGAAAAAGGTTATTCTGCTTAAACACAAGTTATGTAAATTATAGTTTCCATTCCTGGCCACTTTTACAAGCTAAAATTGCCAAAAAAGAAAAAAGAAAACAAAAAGCTACTTTCAGCAACTGGAACTTGAAAAAAACATTGGGAGTTTCCCCCCTTCTCCTTTCCACCCAGTGAATACAGAGAGAACTATTTGCAATGTACACGCATTTATCCTTCCATGACCTGTGTTTGAAATTGTTCTGAGATGCGTCCGAAGCTGACAGCCACCCATGGATGACCTCTTGTGCTTAATCAAATCTTATGTTCTGTTTCCAGATAGCTGATCAGCTTCCTTGGATTTTGCTGATGACACCGGAGAGCTTTGCCTGAAGATGGAAACACTGGAGTCGGAGCTGACCTGCCCTATTTGTCTGGAGCTCTTTGAGGACCCTCTCCTGCTGCCCTGCGCACACAGCCTCTGCTTCAACTGTGCCCATCGCATCCTGGTGTCACACTGTGCCACCAACGAGCCTGTGGAGTCTATCAGCGCCTTCCAGTGCCCCACGTGCCGGCATGTCATCACGCTCAGCCAGCGAGGTCTAGACGGGCTCAAGCGCAACGTCACCCTGCAGAACATCATCGACAGGTTTCAGAAAGCCTCAGTGAGTGGGCCCAACTCCCCCAGTGAGACCCGCCGGGAGCGGGCCTTCGACGCCAACACCATGTCCTCTGCCGAGAAGGTCCTCTGCCAGTTCTGTGACCAGGATCCTGCCCAGGACGCTGTGAAGACCTGTGTCACTTGCGAGGTGTCCTACTGTGATGAGTGCCTGAAAGCCACTCACCCGAACAAGAAGCCTTTTACAGGCCATCGTCTCATTGAGCCAATCCCGGACTCGCACATCCGGGGGCTGATGTGCCTGGAGCACGAGGATGAGAAGGTGAATATGTACTGTGTGACCGATGACCAGTTAATCTGTGCCTTGTGTAAACTGGTTGGGCGGCACCGCGATCATCAGGTGGCAGCTTTGAGTGAGCGCTATGACAAATTGAAGGTTAGTCCGATCCGCCTTAAGCCAACCCCTTTCTGCCAACAAATGTCATAGAAATAAGAAGTGTATTCACTGCTAGCTACACGGCAGGTGACGGTTTGCTCTTCACCTTTGTTATCTGATTAGTTGTAGCATGTTTTCGGCAGCCCATAAATGTTACACAGTAAGGGTATCTTGTAAAAGTTGACTGCTGCTTGTAATTTTGGCGTTGTCAAGGTGAGGGTGAATTCTAAAAATTTGGATCATTTTCAATCCTTACAGTATTTCTGGATCGCTTTCAATACTGCCTCAGAGGAAGGGAGGTGGGGGGAGAGGGAGTCGGGGGGGAGAGGGAGAGA